TTCAGAGCTTCTGAAAATCAGTTTTAAGGAGTTTTTAAGAAAAGGCTGTCTGCATTGTTAAATGTTTAAAATATACAAATAAAATTTAAAAATCCTAAGCATGAGTAAACAAGTTAGGATACAGTAATGTATTGATTAGTAGTTAATCCAGGGATTAAATTTCTGACAACTTCACAAGATGTGACTGTTACCTCTCCAGATAGACAATAAAGTACTTTTGGGAAGATGGATTTCTGCGTAGCTAATGCCTATGTCTCTTTAATGGATTTGCTTAAAGTCTGTTAAATGGCTATTTGAAAAGAAAAAGCATTATTTTAACTTATCAAACCATTAAATTGTTTTCAATTTCTAAAGTAGTAATTTATTATAAAATTTTGTTATGAATCAGACTTTGATTAATTGCAAATATAAATTTAAAAATTTAAGAAACAAATTTTAAAAAGGAATCAAGAAATTGCTGTCAGGACAATTAGTCACAAAATCACTTGTGCTTTAATTGGAAACATCAAATGCTGAGAGTCTACACCATTGACAGAAAAAAAGTATCTGATGATAGCATTAGAGATGGTGTGTGTGTATGAGAGAGAGACATGTTTTCATATTCTTCAGAATGAGGGACTTTGCTGGTAAACAGTTGGTAAACTAGATACAGCTGACTGCTATGGGAAGGTTGGAGCTATGCCTTGGGGCCACTGTAGTGCTGCTCATGCTCTACATAGGAGACTGTGCCCACAGTCTTTAGAGACCAGAGTAACAATGGTGGAACCTGGGACAGGTTCCTCCTACAGGGAAGGAGTCACTGAAAGAGGTAGGGGCTACCATCTTGGATGTAGCTGACATAAAGAGATGACATCTGCTTTCTTACTGTAAAAAATTGCCTGAGACTGGGTAATTTGTAAAGAACAGAGGATGTTTTCATACAGTGGGACAGAGCAAGTGTGCCAGCTTGAGTACCTCCTCTCCTTAGGAGGCCATAATGCCATTCTGTGGTTCCACATTTATGACCTCAGCTAGGCCTACCCATCTCCCAAAGGCCCTGATCTCCAGGTGCCGCTAACACATGAACCCTGTGTCACACACACAGGGAAACACACACAATTCTAAGGATTCTTGTTTGAGATAACAATTGAACTCCTTTATGGGGCACAGGCATTATTAAGGTAATTTAGTCTATAAGCACAATGTGCAATGATCAAGTCAGGGTAGTAATTACTCCCATCTATTCAACCATGAATCATTTTTCGGCACTGGATTTAATATTCTTTTCTAGCCAGTTTAAACTATACCATCGATTGTTACCATACTGTGCTAAGAAGTTCATCTTGTTCTTCACAGTGATGACTGGTTTCCACACAAGAGGAGCGACATTCGGTATTTGTCTCTGTGTCTGGTTTATTCCGCTTAAGATGGAAATAGCCTATTCCACCTAACATGCAAACAGCATCATTTCATTTTTTTTTTTTGATGAATAGTACTCCATGGTGCGACTATACCACATTTGCTTTATTCATTTACTGAAGGGAATCTGAGTTGATTCCATATTTTGGCTGTTACAAACAGTAGTGCAAAAAAAGAAAAAGAAAAACCTAAGAGTGCAGAATGTTTTTGGTGTAAGGGTTTCGTTTCTTTTGGACATACACCTACGTGGCACGATGGCTGGATCCGGGCGTGAGGAGCCCTCAGAACGTTTTCTATCTTGCATACAGGCCAGCACATGAATTTGGGGGGGGGGGGGCGTGTTCAAATTTCAGCATATAGGAACAGTGCAGAGAGAGCTGTGTCTTTGAGGATGACCCCTTGAGTGGCTGATGGGCGTGGCCTCCAGCCTCCTGCTGTGTGGGGCACTGCATCTGGCATGAAGTAATGCACATGAGCTTTCAGTGGGTCCGCAAATTTTCTTCGTAGCCGATGTGTAGAGCTGGATGGAAGCTGGGTGAGAAGCATTCGCAGGGATTGAACTAGAAGCTAAGTCTGCAGGGGCTGGAGTCCCTGTTATGGGTGGTGGTGGCTAAGAGGGTCTCTGACCACCGGCCTTCCCCACCAGGCAGGCCACTGGGCCTCCCCCTCCCCAGCCAGCCTGGTGGCTCAGCTCGGAGTGTGACCTAGGGGCGGGGCACAGCCATCAGTCCAGACTCAGGCAGGTGTCATCTTCAGTCGAGGGTGAGTGATGAGGATATTAAACGCTTGTCTGTAAAGGTCAGAGCGGCAGACGACGGGCCGAGCAGGCCAGACGTGCGCCTTGGGTGCCCGCGGCAGAATTCATTAACTTGTCACCGCCACCAGAGCTGTCAGAGGCCTTCCAGGGACAGCGGGACGTGGGGCTGCAGAGCCCGGAGCGGAGCTGCTGACCGCCAGCCCCCTCTCCTATGCCACGCCCAGCAGCAGCGGTGTGCGGGGAGGCCTCAGAGGGGAGGCTCCAAGGTCTGAAGTGTCTTGAGCCACTCTGGGCCCGAGGGGCCAATGCTCTCCCATTGGGGAGCACCATGCTGGGTGCCAGGACAGGCAAGCAAGTCGCCAGTAAAGGGGGGTTCACTTTTTTTGGGTTGCGGGTCAGCTCCTAGGCTAGAGTCACATCTGTGAGCAGAACTGGGTGTTCCAGAAGGGCCTGCTACTCTCCCTGGGAGCAGGGAAGGTGTGTGGGGTGAGGCCGTGGGGGAGGCGCAGCCAAGGAGCCATGCTGACAAGGTGCCGGCACCCCTTTCCTGCTGGCAAACCGGAGCTGGGCTCCCCTGTGCCACGCAGTTTTCCGGAACAGTGACTCTCCTGCACGGCGGTGACCGTCACCAAGGCCAGGGTGTCATGGAGGGACCCGGGATTGCGGGCTGGAGCCTGTGTGGCCTCTCACTCCCGCTGCGGCCTCCCACAAGTACTTATTGAGTAGCTACTACATCCACGCACTGCCTGCTACCCCTAGGGGCGGTGACTCAGTTAAACCCCCACCAAATGGCACAAGGGGACAAGGATCGGGGCTGTCCGGCACGGAGGCAGGAAACAGGAAGCAGCCACACCACCCCTGGCTATCCCTGAAAGAGGCCAGAGAAGGCCCGGGAGGCCCCGGGAGCAGTGTCCTGAACAAGAGCAGAGGCAGAGGCCGGGGACCCCAGGCCCCAGTTTCCACTGAGGGTTTGGGTGCCCCCCCAAGGGTGGAACAGGGGCACACCTGGGGCTCCCCCCACTGGGGGGCCCACCCTCCTGCGCACCTGGGCATCTGTCAGAGCCCACCTCCTCCCAGGCCTGGGCCTTCTCCTCCATGCAGCTTTCCAAGCACCTGGCCTCCAGGGCCTCTCCCTGGAACTCAGAGCCATCCTCCTTGGTAACCCCCGGAGCTCTGTGCCTCTGTCGAACTAGGACCCACCGATTGCTAAGTCCCCCCACCCCCTCCCATCTTCTTCTGGGATCATCACTGGGCACTCGGGTCTGATGACACCCCCCCCACCTCGGGGAGCGGCCTGTCGCAGACCCGGCCCTCCGGGGCACCCCTCACCTCCCCAGTGTAGACACTAAGTTTTTAAGCTACACACTTCTGATCGCTCGACTCTGCTTGAAACCTTTCAAAGCTAGACTTCCCATTGTTCCTAGAAAAATGATCAAAATCCTCAACAAGGCTCCCTGACAAGTGCTCTTAAAGTGGCCACACAGCATCACCTCGAACCGTAATGAATTAATCACTGCTCCCAACCGCAGCAGATTAGTGGAGTGTGAGTGTGGCTTTAATCTCCTCTCCACTGGCGGTGGGCTCTCACCGCCTCTCCCCAGCATGGAGCACAGCAACATGTTTATATGCAGAAGACTGAGCGAACAAAAACAGCGGCACGGGGCAGGTATTCTCTCCTACTCAGCAAGCCGAGCACCCCAGCAGCACCGTGACGCAGGCCTGTCCCCATCATGCAGGTGGGAACACAGAAGACAGGGAGGTTAAGGAACTTGTCCAGGGCACACAGAAAGGACCTCCCAGCAGCCTATCCGCAGGGCGTGTGGAGAAGGAAACAAGAGAATTATTAGTTCATAATGGGAAGTGTCTAGAAAGGAAGAGAAATTTAAAAAGAGACACTGTCCACAAATGAGCACCATTAATGTGTTGGTGTACTTCTTTCTCCAGGTAGCCATAGTCTGTTTTTGGCATCTGCTGTTCCCGTGGACGGCTTGGAGACACAGCCTTCCCACAGTGCGGACTTGCCTCTTTATTCATACTCTTGTGCGAAGCCCTTCTCTGGAACCTGAGGCACTTTCTGCTTTAACCATCTGTCATGTTGGCAGTCAGTACATAGGAGCAAAATCATGGTCAGTGATCAGTTCCTAGAAATGGAGTTCCTGGGTCAAGGGTCATGCAGGATTTTTAAGACATCCCCTGCATGGGGCCAGATCCTACCCCACCCCCTTTAGCGTGGGTAGAGGGGCACGCTGGCCAGGACAGGGGGGCCTGTCTCCAAGTCAAGCCTGCCCCTGGCTCCCCGCACCTGCCGGGTGGGGTCCCTGTCTGTCCCTGCCTCCTTGGCTGTCCCTTTGGGGCTCCTGCTGGAGGGCTGCCCTAGGCGGGGGCAGGGTCCTGCTGGAGGGCTGCCCTAGGCGGGGGCAGGGTCCTGCTGGAGGGCTGCCCTAGGCGGGGGCAGGGTCCTGCTGGAGGGCTGCCCTAGGCGGGGCAGGGGGGCTGGAGCCCCTCTCTGTGCCCTGTGGCTCCTCTCGAGCTAGGATCTGGTCAGATGTCTGCCCTCCAGCTCCCAGCTACCGGTGATCATTGCCCCCTATGTCTTTTTTTTTTTCAAGCCTAAAAAATTCCTCAGTGGTTGAGTTGGGGCTGCAAAGGAAACTGGATTTCTGCTAAGGAGAGGCCTTTGAGAACATCAGGGTCCCTTCCCAGAGACCCTGGACAGTCAAACGGCCAGAGGAGGCCGTTCCCTGGCTTTGCAAGTGGGTGACTCCTGTACTTGAAGGGGACCCCCCCACACCTGCAGGAGAGGAGAGAGGAGAGAGCTGGCACTGGCTGCCTTTTACAAGGAGCCATGGAGGAAAAGAAAGGCCTGGGGTGCCATGTGAAGGCCAGTCACACCGCAGCCATGGTGCCCCACAGCCAGTCAGACCCCAGCCACGGTGCCCCACAGCCAGCCACACCCCAGCCACAGTGCCCCGCAGCCAGCCACACCCCAGCCATGGTGCCCGCAGCCAGTCACACCCCAGCCACGGTGCCCGCTGCCAGTCAGACCCCAGCCACGGTGCCCGCAGCCAGTCAGACCCCAGCCACGGTGCCCGCAGCCAGCCACACCACAGCCACGGTGCCCCGCAGCCAGCCACACCCCAGCCACGGTGCCCGCAGCCAGTCAGACCCCAGCCATGGTGCCCCACAGCCAGTCAGACCCCAGCCACGGTGCCCCACAGCCAGCCACACCCCAGCCACGGTGCCCCGCAGCCAGCCACACCCCAGCCATGGTGCCCGCAGCCAGCCACACCCCAGCCACGGTGCCCCGCAGCCAGTCACACCCCAGCCACGGTGCCCGCAGCCAGTCAGACCCCAGCCACAGTGCCCGCAGCCAGCCACACCCCAGCCATGGTGCCCGCAGCCAGCCACACCCCAGCCACGGTGCCCCGCAGCCAGTCACACCCCAGCCACGGTGCCCGCAGCCAGTCAGACCCCAGCCACAGTGCCCGCAGCCAGCCACACCACAGCCATGGTGCCCCGCAGCCAGCCACACCCCAGCCACAGTGCCAGCAGCCAGTCAGACCCCAGCCACGATGCCCCGCAGCCAGCCACACCCCAGCCACGATGCCCCGCAGCCACGGTGCCTGCAGCCAGCCACACCCCAGCCATGGTGCCCCACAGCCAGTCAGACCCCAGCCACGGTGCCCGCAGCCAGCCACACCCCAGCCACGGTGCCCGCAGCCAGCCACACCCCAGCCACGGTGCCCCACAGCCAGTCAGACCCCAGCCATGGTGCCCCACAGCCAGTCAGACCCCAGCCACGATGCCCCGCAGGCAGCCACACCCCAGCCACGATGCCCCACAGCCAGCCACACCCCAGCCACGATGCCCCGCAGCCACGGTGCCCGCAGCCAGCCACACCCCAGCCACGGTGCCCGCAGCCAGCCACACCACAGCCACAGTGCCCCGCAGCCAGCCACACCCCAGCCACGGTGCCCGCAGCCAGTCAGACCCCAGCCATGGTGCCCCACAGCCAGTCAGACCCCAGCCACGGTGCCCCACAGCCAGCCACACCCCAGCCACGGTGCCCCGCAGCCAGCCACACCCCAGCCATGGTGCCCGCAGCCAGCCACACCCCAGCCACGGTGCCCCGCAGCCAGTCACACCCCAGCCACGGTGCCCGCAGCCAGTCAGACCCCAGCCACAGTGCCCGCAGCCAGCCACACCCCAGCCACGGTGCCCCGCAGCCAGCCACACCTCAGCCAGTCACACCCTAGCCACGGTGCCCCGCAGCCAGCCACACCCAGCCACGGTGCCCCGCAGGTAGCCTTCCAGGCTCATGTAAACGGTATGAAGTGTATACATCAGGAAACTGAGGCAGGAGAGGGGAAGGGACATGCCCAGATCACCTTCGTCATCACCAGAGTGGGAGTCTGTCAAAGCCATCTTCCCAAGCAGCCGCCCAGCCCTGAGGTTAAACTTGCCAAGGAAGAGAGTGACTTCCTGCTTGGCAGGGCCAGCTCTCTACAGAGCGCTCCTTGTGTCTAGGCATTGGCCCCAAGAGGAGATTGGAACGCTGCCTGTGTGTGTGTGTGTGTGTGTGTGTGTGTGTGCGCGCGCGCGCACGCGCGCACCCTCCCCCCCCACATGCGAGTGTACATGTGTATTTTACCCTCAAGTCATCTGGAATAGAAAATGGAGCATTCAACTAGGGGTGATTTGGGGGGCTCAGCTGGGGGTGCCATATGAAGCGGGGGCCTCCTGTGGTAGCATTTACTGAGCACCCACCATTGCATGCTGACCCCTTTCACAGACACCCCTCTCCCAGGGTGTTCAGGAAGGGAGGGTGACACTGGGAGCTTGCTGGTGAGAGGGCTTCATTGTATACAGTGTTCATATAAATTACCGCGTATGCACCCCCAAATTGGCAAAGCCAGTCTCTTGTGCTCCTCCATGCTATGGCCTTGCACACTGGCTAAGAGGGACACAGGCCCCTCCCCCCCCAAGTCCCATGCTCCAGGTGACTTCAGCTGCTCCGAGTCCAGGGGGCAGAGCACCCCAGCTTCCAGCCGTCTGGAGCTATGGCAAAGCATCTCCATGGACAAGCCACAACAAATGTGAGTGTCCTGGTGGGGAAATGACCACAGCAGAATTGCTGGGTGCAAACTCATCTCGCAACAGACAGTTGCAACTCACACTTCCTCCAGCAGGGTGCACACTTCCTCCAGCAGGGTGCCATGTCCCAGCCCATCCTCGTCACAGAAATCAGCATCTTTACTGCCAAAGCAACAGTTACAATAGGTACCCTGATCTGTACCTGTACCTGTATCTGTATCTGTACCTGTATCCATATCTGTATCTATATCTGTATCTGTATCTGTATTTGTATCTGTATCTGTATCCATGTCTGTATCTGTATCTATCTTGTTTTTCCACTGAAGACTAACACTGGACAATTCGGGGGCAATGTAGCAGGTAGAAAGAGTTGCTGTTTCCCTAGTGCCTTGAAGCGCTGTGGATACAGTAGGTGCTTACTAAATATTTGGTGACCAAGTGAACAAGAGAATAAAGATATAGCGGCTCCACAAGAGCAGTTCTGTGGACTCTCCTCTGAGCCTCCACATGGGCTTGCTTTGCATCTGTTCTAACTGCCCATAGGGCTCCTTTGAACTCTGCACTCGCTGCTTCTCACGGTGGGCATCCTCCCTTGTTCTCTCTCCCAGAAGACACGTTTTAAATATCTCTAGAATGCTTGTCGCTGTAGGAACCGTAGTTTCTTTGAAACCTCCGTTATTGTCCCTGTCGGCTGTTTTCAATTTCTCTTTATAAACGATGCTGCAGCTGATATCTTTAAGAGAAGCGACTTTCTATTTCAGCTTATTTTCTAAGGAGAGAAGTAGTACTCAGAAGAAAGATTCACTTGGTCAGAGATTTGGAAATCTGATTTTGTCTTTCTTAAGAGGGAGGCGCCTTATAAAACGGCTTTGTATCTGTTGAAAACCTGCTTATGTTCTTTTTTAAATATTATTTTTAACAATGACTTGTTCTGAACAATATCTTGTGCCTTCAAGAAAACAGCTGCCGATTTGAAAGGACAGGCATTCTCTCTGCGCTCTCAGGGAAGTGATCAGCTCGGGGAACAGACAGCCAGGTCCCTGCGTGTATCTGATGGTTGCTATGGGAACGAGTCATTTCTTAGGACACTTGACTAAAGGCTTGATCAATAAGGGAGGGGGTAAAATGGAAACAAATTAGCTGGTGTCTGAGCAGCCCTGACAGATGACGGTACTAATGGGAGCCCTGGGAGCCGGCGCCGGGGCAGGAAGCAGGGGGAAGGCGGGCCTGCGGTCCTCACTCAGCGCACGGGGGCACAAGGCCCGCGGGGCTGCGGGGACAGGGCCCGGTGGGGGCTGGGGTGCAGGGAGGCCCGGCCGGCCCGAGGCGGGAGGAGGCCGTCAGTTCCGTCACTTCCTGCCAGGCCGGACCGCTGGTCCGGGCCGACGGGCCCACCTGACCGCAGCCACGGCTGGCCAGCCGGGGAAGGGCGCAGGACGGCCGCGGCCGCGGGGAGCCGCCTGCCAGGACTTCATGAAGGCCGAGGGCGCGCACAGGCCGGCGGCGGGCCGGGTCCCGGGGGTGTGGGGGGGAAACCTCCAGAAGGCCGGGGTGGACCCGTGTCCTCGCGTCCCACCCGGACTGGACTCGGGGGCTGCCCTCCGCCGTTAGTGCGGGAAGCCTCCTCTCCCCGGCCTCCCCACGCGTGCGGCCTCCTCCCCCCAGCCTCCCCACGCGTGCGGCCTCCTCTCCCCAGGCTCCCCACGCGTGCGGCCTCCTCCCCCCGGCCTCCCCACGCGTGCGGCCTCCTCCCCCCGGCCTCCCCACGCGTGCGGCCTCCTCCCCCCGGCCTCCCCACGCGTGCGGCCTCCTCTCCCCAGGCTCCCCACGCGTGCGGCCTCCTCTCCCCAGGCTCCCCACGCGTGCGGCCTCCTCCCCCCGGCCTCCCCACGCGTGCGGCCTCCTCCCCCCGGCCTCCCCACGCGTGCGGCCTCCTCCCCCCGGCCTCCCCACGCGTGCGGCCTCCTCTCCCCAGGCTCCCCACGCGTGCGGCCTCCTCTCCCCAGGCTCCCCACGCGTGCGGCCTCCTCCCCCCGGCCTCCCCACGCGTGCGGCCTCCTCCCCCCGGCCTCCCCACGCGTGCGGCCTCCTCCCCCCGGCCTCCCCACGCGTGCGGCCTCCTCTCCCCAGGCTCCCCACGCGTGCGGCCTCCTCTCCCCAGGCTCCCCACGCGTGCGGCCTCCTCCCCCCGGCCTCCCCACGCGTGCGGCCTCCTCCCCCCGGCCTCCCCACGCGTGCGGCCTCCTCCCCCCGGCCTCCCCACGCGTGCGGCCTCCTCCCCCCGGCCTCCCCACGCGTGCGGCCTCCTCTCCCCAGGCTCCCCACGCGTGCGGCCTCCTCCCCCCGGCCTCCCCACGCGTGCGGCCTCCTCCCCCCGGCCTCCCCACGCGTGCGGCCTCCTCTCCCCAGGCTCCCCACGCGTGCGGCCTCCTCCCCCCGGCCTCCCCACGCGTGCGGCCTCCTCCCCCCGGCCTCCCCACGCGTGGAGCCGCCCGCCGGGCTGTTCTTCGACCGTCGGGGCCGTGCCGCTGCTTCCGCCCCGTCTCTGCCTGGGGTCTCTCCCGGGCTCCCTGCCTGGCACAGCCCCGCGACTGCACCCCAGAGGCCCTCGCGGGCCCTGGGCAGGGACGGGCTTCAGAGGGCAGGGCTGTGGCCGGGCCGCGGTGAGGCGGCTGGCGTGGCCCCGGGGGTCCCGGTTCTGCCTTCCGCCTCCCCGAAGCCTCCGCGCCGGGGTCCGCCCCTGCCCGCGCCCGCGCCCGCGCCCCGCGCCCCGCACGTGCGCGCCGCTGAAGAGCTGCGCGACGTGGGCGCGGCGCCCGGGAGCCGGGGAGCGGCCGCGGGTTCTGGAAGGATCGGGAGGCGGCGCGCGGGGCGGCAGCGCGCGCGGCCGCCGGCAGGGGGCGGGCCGGGCCCGCGAGCCGCGGTGTCCTCCCCTCACCCCGGACCCGGCCGGCTGTGCGGTGCCCGGCCTTCCCCGGTCTGCGAGTCGCTGTGGCTCATGACGGCACGCGTGGAAGTGGGAAAACACGCGGAGGGGACGCAGGCGCCGGCAAGCCTCCGGCGTCCCGGCGGAGCTGGGGGTGGGAGGGGGCGGGGGCGGGGGGAGGGGGCGGGGGAGGGGAGGCAGGGGGCAGGAGTTAGGTGGGGGGCGTGGAGGTGGTGGGAGGGGTCGCGTCCCCCGCCCCCGGCTTTCAGAGGCAGGCTCAGAGGCAGAGGCCCCTTTTAGCTGTGTACCCCAGATATGCATTTCAGATAATAAGGAAAACTGGCAGGAAAAATAAAAACTGTGGCTCCCAGGGAGCCAGGCACTTTGGAGCCGAGGAAGGGGGGGAGGGGACGGGGGCTGGGGGGGTCGGGGGGTGGGTGGGGTCGGGGACGGGGGTGCGGGGGGGGGGGGCGCTCCCATAGGTAGTTTGCGTTCTTTCACTGAAGTGATTTCGTTATGGCCTGGGGCATGGAGTCGCCCACCTGATGTGGACCAGCGACTTGTGTGGAGCTCTGTGCAGGGCTGCTGATCACCTCCTCCAGCTCCTTCCTGGAAGTGCAAGACCGCGTGAGAGGGCCCCTGCCGGCCAGCACCTGTGCTCACTCTCAGGACAGGCCTGGCACACAGTGCTCACTCTCAGAGCAGGCCTGGCACACCTGTGCTCACTCTCAGGACAGGCCTGGCACACTTGTGCTCACTCTCAGGACAGGCCTGGCACACAGTGCTCACTCTCAGAGCAGGCCTGGCACACCTGTGCTCACTCTCAGGACAGGCCTGGCACACAGTGCTCACTCTCAGAGCAGGCCTGGCACACCTGTGCTCACTCAGGGCAGGCCTGGCACACAGTGCTCACCCTCAGGGCAGGCCTGGCACACAGTGCTCACTCAGGGCAGGCCTGGCACACCTGTGCTCACTCTCAGAGCAGGCCTGGCACACCTGTGCTCACTCTCAGGACAGGCCTGGCACACAGTGCTCACTCTCAGGGCAGGCCTGGCACACCTGTGCTCACTCTCAGGGCAGGCCTGGCACACCTGTGCTCACTCTCAGGGCAGGCCTGGCACACTTGTTCTCACTCTCAGGGCAGGCCTGGCACACAGTGCTCACTCTCAGAGCAGGCCTGGCACACCTGTGCTCACTCAGGGCAGGCCTGGCACACCTGTGCTCACTCAGGGCAGGCCTGGCACACAGTGTTCACCCTCAGGGCAGGCCTGGCAGCTGCCTGGCACACCTGTGCTCACTCAGGGCAGACCTGGCACACCTGTGCTCACTCAGGGCAGGCCTGGCACACAGTGTTCACCCTCAGGGCAGGCCTGGCACACAGTGCTCACCCTCAGGGCAGGCCTGGCACACCTGTGCTCACCCTCAGAGCAGGCCTGGCAGCTGCCTGGCACACCTGTGCTCACTCAGGGCAGGCCTGGCACACCTGTGCTCACTCAGGGCAGGCCTGGCAGACACCCCGTGCTTACGCTCAGAGCAGGCCTGGCGGGGCCTGCCTCTCCACTGTACCTTGGGCATCCCTGCTAGGGGCAGCGTGATCTCTGACAAGCTCTAGGCAGAGCTTGCCCTTTTCAGAGTGCACCTGGGTCCATCCTTGCCTAGATCACTGTAGGGTCCTGGAACACAGGCAGGGGGGGCTCAAATGGAGACACAAAGGCCCCTCCCCCCCAGGTCATAGGCATTCTTCTCAGAAGATGCCCTTTTGATGGGGTCAGGGCCTTTTACAGCCCAGGCAGGCATCCTGGCTGCAAGCCACACTGCAGTCCTTGAGCCTCTCGCAGATCTCAAGACCTGGAAGCCTCGTGCTGTTTGAGGTGATGGGAAAGGCCGGTGAAGGGTGCCAGCTCTGGAGATCCCTAACTCCCAGCATTTGCAAACCCAGCCATGACCTGTTCACTCAAGAACTCACCCACCACTGTCCACGTTCCTGATCTCCCAGATCTGCCCAAACACAATCGTGCTCACCTAGCTCACCTCCCACCCTCCCTTGCTCAATGCATATCTACAATAGTCAAAGCCATCATGAACAAGAAGAGGAACTCCTGATTCCAAGGCTTAAAACAACAATGATGGTATGCCATTGGCACAGAAACCAGCACAGACCCTGGTGGATTAGAACAGGGGGCCAAAGCCCACTCCCAGCCCTCCAGCCAGTAGATACCCCACAGACACCAAAACATATGCTAAGAAAGAAACATACACTGAGAGGTCCTAGGGAATGCAGAAGGACAAAAATTCAACTAAAAATTGATCAGAGATCTAAATATGATCATGAAACGGTGAAACTACTAGAAAACACATGGGAAACACTTGACAACATGGGTACAGGGAATGATAATTTTTTTTAGGTCTCCAAAGCACAGACAGCAGTGGGATTCAGTGAACGGTAGGAACATGCACACGGCAAACAGTCCACCGAGAAGAGACAACCTACAGAAAGGGAGAATTTTTTTGTCAACTATTTATCTAACAAAGGTGTAATATGTAGGAGATACAAGGAGCTAAAATGCCCAATGGTGAAACCCCAAATAATTCCATTTAAAATGTAGAGATGATTTGGATATTTTTCAAAAAATTCAGATGGCCAATATATTTATGAAAGGGCTCAACGTCATTAACTGTCAGGGAAATGAAGACAAAATCCCAAATGAGGTACCATCTCACTTCAGTTAAAATGGGCATTGTCAAAAAGATCAAAACAATCACCCCTCAAATGGTGGCACATGCCTGCAATCTCAGCACCTGGGAGATTGAAACTTAAGACTTACAAACTTGAAGCCAGACTGGGCTACATAGTGAGAGACCCTATCTCTAAACTCAGATCAAACAAGAAGGGGTTGTGAGTTTAGTTCAATTGCACAGCACTTGCCCATCACTTCCAAGGCCCTGGATGCAATCCCCAGTACTGAGCAGTAAGTAAGTAAATGAAGATAAGAGTATCTACTGGTGAGGACAGGGAGGGAAAAGAATGCTCATGCACTCTTGGCAGAAATGTCACTGATTGTAGTCATTATTGAGAATAGTAGGGAGATTTCCCAAAAAGTACAAGTAGATCTGTCGAGTGGTTTAGCACTCCCACTTGTGGGTTCACCCAAAAGAGACAAAAGCACATCAAATACTGCCCATGTTTACTGCAAGGTAAGACATGGACACAACCCAGATGCCCATCGACAGAGAGCAGATAGAGAACATAAAGGAATATTATCCAGTCATAAAAAGGAATGGAACTCTATCATTGTAGCAAAATGGATGAAGCCAGATGACTTTAGGTTAGGTGGAACAGGTCTGACACAGCCAAATACTGCATGCTTTGTCTTGTAGATGGAAGCTATCAAAAGCTCAAGCTGGATGTAGAACAGTGATTCCTGGAGGCGAAGGTCTGCTGAGGGAGGTTGGCTAACAGGCTCCAGCTCAGTCAGCAGAATGAGTTCTGATGTTGTAAAGCCCCTCAGGAGTTACTGCAGATCATAGTAACCATTGGTTTATAGGGAAGAGCTAGAAGCATGAAGGTGCCAAGCATTAAATCACTTTGAGCAGAAGGAAATGCTAATGAATAATGATGTGGTCAGGACAGGTACACATGGGTGAACTAGCACATTGTGCTGTGTAGATATGTATAACAAGCAACAACAACCACCATAGATGAAATGCAAAGCAAAACAACAGTGAGATTCCACCTTACCCCAGTTAGAATGGCTAACTAAGAGTAACAGATGCTGGTAGGGATGTGGCCGAAAGGGAACGCTATTACACTGTTGGTAGGAATGTAAAGTTGTTCGACCACTCTGGAAAGCAATATGGAGGTTCCTTAAAAGACTAAACATAGAGCTTCCCTATTTCCCAGTAATTCCACTCCTGGGCATTTATCTAATAGACTGCAAACCAGACCACACTAAAGTGATCAGCACAGCCATGTTCATTGAAGCATTGTTTACCATAGCCAAGATATAGAACCAGCCCAGATGCCCCTCAGTGGACAAATGGATCAAGAAAATGTGGTATAACAAGACAATATGTTGGAAATGATCTGCACAACTTGGGGGTGGGGGGGACTGGAGGAAGAGAAAGTAGGAGAAAAATGAGGGAAGAGGTAGGTAACAAGTTTGACAAGAAATGTCCTTATTACCTTACTTATGTAACTGTAACCCCTCTGTACCTTACCTTGGTAATAAAAAAAAAAGACAATGTGGTATATATTCACAATGGGATTTTATGCTTTCATCGGAAAGAATAACATTGCCCTATTCATAAGGAAATGAAAAGACTTGGAAAAAATTATATTAAGCAAAGTAAGCCAAACCCAAAGAAACATAGGTTGCATGTTTTCCCTCATTTGTAGTAATTAAAGTGTGTCTATAAATCTACAAGTAAAAACACAATGGATGGTAAAAGACAAAAAAAAAACTACACTTGGACATGACAGAACTCTAAATATTCACACAGTGAGACCAACTGAGGACATTCTTAGGAGAGGATCACAAAGGCTCAATAGCTATGTGCAAATATAAAATGATGTTTATCAAAATGAACTCCAAGAAATGGAAACAGAAGTTTTTAAAACATTATTTTACCCTCCCCCCCACTTTGTCCCTTTTTTATTCCCATACGTTTTGTCTTGTATGTTAGTTTGTCAGTTCTGGGGAGGGTAAGGGGAGCACAGGAATGGAGGGACAAAGGGCGAATCACTGCAGCAGTGACACCCACAGACACCATGCTGAAAATGAACTCTACAACTTGTGGGTGGGGTGGGGGAGAAAAACAGTGAGGGAAGGGGCATTTAGAAAGAAATGTGCTCTTTACCTGACTTACGTAACCTCAACCCTTCTGCACATCAACTTAACAATAAAAAAATGACAACAACATTCTCCCAAACAACAGCAAACTATTAAAGTCTTACAGACTATGAAAATGTAGATGAAATGCTTCATGACATATGACCCAAAAGGACAGGCAGCAAAACAAAAAAACCTGACAACTGCACAGGGCACTGGTGGCGCAGCCTAGGGCGCTAGCTACTTGGGAGGTTGAGGTGG